ATTTAAATAAAAACAAGAACACAATTACAGAAGATATAGAAATTGATAACCTGCAGGATGAGGATGATGATGATGATAACAATAACTCAAATATCGGCTCTGATAATTCTCACAATACTTTGGGATAGCAATAGATAATCTAATAAATTGGTGATATTATCACTACCAATAAATAGCATAAATTATAATTAGTGATATCATGTATTCATTAAAAATTAATTTATAATAGTATTTAAATAAAAAATTAACCTTAATCTTAATTGATAAAGTGAAGAAGTAGTAAATTTGGAATTTGAAAACATTGACCTTGAAAAAATATTTAATTGTGAAATATAAATTGTACTTGAGTAGTGAAACATATTGCTTCTAAAAACTATAATATTTATTTGTGAGGATTTATTAACCAAACATGAATAATATTACCCAAGAATTTGAAAAGTGTAATTTAATATGTGTAAAATCTTAAAAACGCCTCCCTATAATAACTAAATTTATTGATCTTGAAATGTATTGATTTCAAAAATAATAAAAAAAATAAATATTTTAATATTAATATCAATATTAATGAAACAAATACCTTGCTGAATAATATGATAAAAAACACATATCATAATGGGTTAAGAGTCACCAAAATTAATGTATACCATTATTATATATTCTTTAACTATTACTTTCTTATAAACTTTGACTCCTCCAGGAAAGTGATGGAAAATGATGGAAGAAAGTTGGTAATATAAAAAAATATGAAAAATACAACTATAAGGTTGGTTTGACAATTTTGATAAAAAGTTTTTATGTCACATTAAGGTCAAACGTCAAATTGAAAAGTACTTTAAAATTACCATTACACAATATAAAAAAGATCGACATTTTAAGTCACATTCGTGATAATTACGAAATTCCACTATGCTGTCTGAAATTGAGTGTGGGGGTTTGTGTTACATATTGAATTTAGCCAATCAACGTTAAATTTTCTACCAGAAGGACAAATTTGATTGGCTAAATTCAATATGTAACACAAACCCCCTCACTCAATTTCAGACACTGACCCCAACCCTAACTCCGCCCCACGCAAATTTAATTCCTTAGGTGGTGACAATCACCACCGATGAGAAATAGCAATTCTCTTCTATATTTATATTTCAAGAACTTATTCAGCTGATGTAAATATTTACTTTAAATTATTAATTATTATTTGTAATGCTCAGTTGACCCAAATATTTCTTTTACATTAATAAGCATAGTTTATTGGACAAACTAGAGTAAAAGTCATGTTATTTGTAATGCCCCAAGAGGTATAAAAAGACTTGGTTTTTGACCAAGTCAGAATAATCATGTTCATAATAATCTTTTAACTATTAATCTAATAATTAATACTTCCTAACACATTGTAATTATAATATTATTTTCGCTAATAAAACACATAACATATTTTACCCTAAAAATAATAATCGTTAAATAATTAATAAACTACAAAGGGTAAACCTTTGCTGTACTCAGCAAGTAACCAACATTCTAATCATTGAGAAACATCTAAAGGGGACGCCTTTGGGATATAATTATATATATAGAACCTAGTGGAGTTAGTTGTCCATCTGAGAAAAACATTCACAGTATACTTGGTGCATCCTCCATTTTTTATTTTCAACAAAAAAACGAACAAACTTATATTAATTCCCTAAGTTCAGGTGAAATTATTGATATTTGGACATGTGTTACATCAAAGTTCAAAAAACTTACAATTCCAAAAGAAATAATTGAATTTGTGAAAGAAAATAAAAAGGTTTGTGGATTAAATTTTATGTTATATTTATAGTTGTTATATTTATAGTTTTTATATTTGTCATATTTAATTTTATTAGGGTTTTCAACGAGATAGTCTAGAAGAAATTGAAAGGTCTCTTGATTGACATGTTGCAAATAAGTCTGGGAATCTTTTAATGAGGACATTTTTTAAATTGCTAGGGAAATACATCTCATGGGAATTCGTTTTTAATATTGATGAGTTAACGGAAGGAACATTCATGATGGATTGTGTTGCATCACTATTTAATAAAACAGTTCATTATTTTAATTATACTACATTGCAGGGTTGGCAAATGTGCAGTCATTGGGTCCATTAGTGTAACACTTTAACCATATTTAGTATTTTATTAATGGCAATGGACCAGTCCAAAATCCATCTGTTCTCAATGGACCAGTCAATTTGCCAACCCTGCTACATCACATTCGTGGTATGACATTATTATTATATAATTTCTATAATTTAAATTTTTTAGTACTAAATCCATGTTTATTGTTTTTATAGGATAGATGTAGAGTCAAAGGCCTCAAAATTAAGACAAGGATGCAGCCGATATCCAGACTATAAATTAAATGATAAAAATGGAGTGCGCACAGGTATATTTGGTGAGGTAACAAGTCCCAAGCGTCAAAATGATGAACTAAAAATATATTGGGATGTCTATCTAGGGGCTATACATGCAAAAGATGCAATAGACCAAGATATAAAGAAGAACAAAATATGCCCAGATGAAGCCAAACGAATTGTTAGTTTTATCGTCGGATTTAAAATTAAAGTATGCATCTTAGATCTATTGTCTCCAGGAATATATATTCTAGCAGAAGTGGAATCATTAAGTATTCCAAAAACTGTTAGAAACCTTGAGTCAATAATGAAATTACATAATACTTTAATATCCATCCGGGTTGGTTTTATTTTTTGATGCTTGACATTTATTTGTAAGATACATTCTAATTAATTAAATTTTATAGGATAATGCGGTGGATATATTAAGTGATTGATCTTACAACACACCTCTTCAAACCAATTATTCGGAGTGGTTATGTCCAACTGCTACTACCCCCGTTTAAACATTTTCATAATATAGTTACATTTTATTAATGAATGTGTGTTACCGATTTTGTCACTGATTCATCTTCAATTAAATATTTCCAAAAAGATTATATAAATTTCTCTGTTTTTTTAACAACTAGATCGTAAATATTATTTTTACAGTATAAATTTATTTTTATACTTACCATTACTTTTACAACACAAAATAATAATCAATTAAATAAATTTAATTTTTATTTTATAATAACAGATAATAGTAAGTAACCTTTTATTAATTACTATACTTTTGCCTTCAAGACAAAATTTTTTCGTGTGCAAATAAAACAAATCTCAGAGAACATATTAATATATTTTTTATTGCCTTTAATTATGTAAAGAAAAAAGTTTTTTGTTTGTGATGTATTGATTTTTCAATAACATTTATTATTTCTTTACATTAAATACATACCATAATTTTTATACATTAATTAGAGCTAGTACTAGCAATTTTAGCTGTTTATTGGTAGTGATAATATCACCAATTTATTAGATTATCTATTGCTATCCCAAAGTATTGTGAGAATTATCAGAGCCGATATTTGAGTTATTGTTATCATCATCATCATCCTCATCCTGCAGGTTATCAATTTCTATATCTTCTGTAATTGTGTT